ATAGTGAAACAAATACTTTCTAGCTACTGCAGTCTCTGGGTCACCCTTAGACAAGGCATTGAATCCATCAGCCTCCCTTACCAGGGTTACGGTTGAAGCTGTTGGGAGCGCAGGATGGTGGATCATTTCATCTTGCAAATGCCTGGTGCAACTAGGACAACAATACAGGAGACTTGCTCAAGCTAGCTGAGCACTGCAACCTGCAGCAAGAAGTGGCAACCTACTACAGTATTTTGCCAAGCATAATCCATGGTCTTTCAAAAATTAAGAAAACCACACAACAGCATGAAGGGGGTCCCTGACAAAAGGTGAGGAAACCTCGCCCGGTAAGGACAGTCATGTGTGACAGGTGACTCCTTATCATCAGCATGCTACTGTCCACACTCCGAAGACAGGAGTCAAAGTGGCAATGGGGAATGTGGGTACTCTATATCAAATGAGGAAATTGCATAACATCAAACATGAAATGAGGAGAATAAAGATCAACATTCTAGATCTGTGTGAAACACATTGGAAAAAGGCTGGAATTATTGTTTCAAAAGATGTCAAGATCATTATTCAGGAGGTCAGATGCACGAAACAGGATTTGGATTGATTTTGGATGAAGAAACCTCAAAATCTTTGCATGGTTTTTGGGCAATATCGGATACAGTAATGCTTGTGAAAATAAAGGCTAAACCTTTTAACACTGCAATAATAAAAATCTACGCACCAACAGCTGAAAGTGGGGAAGAAGACATTGATCATTTCTGTGAAGACCTTGATAAAGCAAAAAAGCAATGCAAACCTCAAGAAATGGTCATAGTGATGGGAGATCTAAATGCGAAAGTTGGTTGTGAATGAGTACGTAATATTGTTGGACCTCATGGAAAATGAAAGAGGAGAGAGATGGATTTTGATTGATGTGTTGCAAAAGATCAAGTCATTATGAACACATGGTTTGAATGTCACCCAGGAAGAAGGTATACATGGAAAAGTGCTGGAGATAACGTTAGAAACCAGATTGATCACATCATCGTCAACAGAATATTCAGGAATGCAATTCAACAATCAAAAACTTACTCAGGGGCTGACTGTGGAAGTGATCATGTACCTGTAGTATGCACCATCAAGATAAGGTTGAGGATACTTAAGAAACCAAAAGCAACAAAGAAGCTTGATTATTTGATTCTAATGGAAAAAAGATTTGTTTAAAGAAAGGTACACAGTTGCAGTCAAAAATCATTTTCAAGAACTTGAAGATAAAGGATAGGGCTGTGCGATATGGCATCATTCTGTTTCACCTTGAGTTTCAAAGTTTGCACAGAACAGCATTTCATATCGAATTTCATTTTGATTCAAAACAGCTGTTCTGTTTTTCTTCCTCGAAACAGTAGAGCTGTTTCAACTGTTTTGATGTTTCGCTAGATCAGCCGTGCACAGGGAGTCAGCCCAGCTGGGTGGACTCCCCATCCCCTGTGCTAGATCAGGCCAGAGATGAGGAGTGAGATTGGGCCGGTGGTGATCTAGCACAGGGGATAGGGAGTCAGCCCAGCCGGACTGTATGACTGCCTGGCCTCAAACAGCCATTCACATGCTGCCTTGGCGTGGACGGTTGGTGACGGATGTCCTGAAGTTTCTTGCAGACCCTGAGGCAGATGTTTATCACCAAGGGGGCCACCCCCAAACTTGCCTACCATGACTTTCAATGTAACTTCAGTTGGGGGGGGGGTAACCCGCCAGGGGCTCCTCAGTGGTGGATAGTCTGCCAGAAGGCCATCCGGGGGGTTCCACCTCCCCTACACCCCAGCCTCATGCCAACCTCGGCGGGTCACTGGATCTTACTGGCCATTCCTCCAATGCCACTGTACTCTTGACTCCAACGTTCTCTTAAGTCTTGTGTCCCCCAGCACTTTCTCCTACGATGGCCTAGCAAAACCACTATCTAGCCTCAGCTGGGCCTCCTCCTGCCCTAAGCTGCCTCAAGCCAGGAACTGAGAGACCAAACAGCAAATAACATAAGAAAAAAAAAAGGGAAAGAAAAAAAGGGAGGACAGAAAGGAGCCGTCCTGCCAGCGCCTCTATCCTGTGCTTTCTTCCCTTTTTACCGGGACTTTCCTCATTAGGAGACTTAGTCCACTGGCGTTATCTCTCCTACCACACAACCCCTCCAAAAGGGGGAAAAGGGAAAAAAAAAAGGAACAAACGGAAATTACGAATTGGGGAGAGTTCGCCTGGCTACCTTCCCAACCCTTCAGTTAGGATACGGAGGAGCCTCCTTGTCACTGTCTCCACGATCCCTTTGTCTTCATCCCCATCAGCAGTGTCCCACACCTGGTACCTGGGCACTCTCTGGGGAATGATCCATCATCTGGCCAGGGGTGGCTAAGGCTTCTCTTTCTGGGCCGTTACTCCCCTCACGCTGCTGAATGCGGCTCGCAGAGTCACCCTCCTCCAATGTCATCTGAGGCGTCCCACTTCCTACACCCCACGGTCCTTCCTGGTCCGGTCGGCCGCTGCTTGCGCTGTGGGCTACTGTCACGTCTGTTACTGCCCTGCCAGGCTCTCTCTCCTGTGACTCCCACCAGTCTCTGCTGGTGCAGAAAGCCTTCGCTGACTGTTCTACCTCCCGGGCACACCAGCCTCTGCTGGTGCAGAGAGCCTCTGCTGGCTCTCCCTCCTCCCGAGCACACTGGTCACAGCTGGTGCAGGGAGCCTCCGCAGGCTCTCTCTCGTTCCGGGTACGTCTGCCGTTGTCGGTGCTGAGAGTCTCCACCAACTCTCCCCCCTGCTCTCCACTGGTGATCCTCTTATTCCCACCGGCTGGTGATTGCCGATGACATCACTGGCTGACCTCAGCTGAATAAAGGTGCGGCTTACAACCCATGTGGGTTCCCTCCTTCGCTCCGGGTGCGTCGTGAGCCCTGCTGCAGGTAAGTGTTTTTCTTTTATTATTTCTTTCCCTTTCATGCCTGGTCTTCACCCTAGGGGCCCCCAGTGCGCGGATCAGGGCTCTTTCACCTGATCGCCCCCGTGACAGACTGATTTCCCATCCCCAACACTACGGTCGAAATGTTCTCATTATGTTTCAAGGCTGTTTTGATGCCCTTTGTTTCATTTCAATTTTGCTGTTTCAACCTCGAAATGAGTCAAAACAGTGTTGAAATGAAACGGCCAGCAAAATTTCGCACAGCCCTAATGGAGGAAATATGTCAAACTGGGAAATTTTCAAAGAAGCACTGGTTGAAACAGCCAAGGAGGTTATTCCAGCAAAAGTAAGGCAAAAGAAACAGAAATGGATGGCTGAAGACATTCTTGAACTTATGGAATAAAGAAGGAGGATGAAAACCCGTAGTATGGAAGAGTATAAGAAACTGGACGAAAGAATTTGATCAAGGTGCAATGAAGAAAAGGAAAAATGGCTTAATGAAAAATATACAAAAGGATAAAGATGTTACATCAATGCATAGGAATATCAAAGACATCACAGGCAAAGGAGGATGTACTGCTAGGGGATGTATAAAAGCCAAGAATGGCGATATAATTATGGAATGAGAACATGTATTGAAAAGATGGACACAGTATATTGAACAGTTATATCACGACAGTCAATAAGAAAAGCCATCTATTAAGAAGAACATGGACGCTTTTAAAATTCTTAAATCTCCACAGAATACAAATTAATATTATACTCCTGAGGAATGAATTTTAGTTTCTTGTAATATGATGTGCTGGGTGAAGTGGTAGTTTGTAGCGTCTTACTATGGATCAAGGGCATGAGTTTGAGCGCTGCACTGAAGGATGACTTCAGCTGACCAAACTATAAGTCAGAACCTGGTTATTTAAATCAGGGAGTCAAAAGCAGCCAGACATAACACTACCTATGCCACTATCTTATATGTAGAGACCTACCAAATTAGCAATTTCGTGATTTTCATGGAAACCGCAAATTTTGTCAGTCTCCACAAAAAAGCCCAATCCCCATGAAAAGGTGCTGGGACTGCGAAAAGGTGCAAAATTGGAGAAGGAGCAGGGGACAAGGAAAAAAAAAGAGCTGCAAAACAGAAAAGGACAGGAAGCCCTGGTGTCCTAAAGCACAGGGGGAGAACAAATCGGAGGCTGAGCCCCTGATGTAGGCTCAGTCCAGGAGCCAGCCAAGGGCCAGCCTGGGATCCTGCAAAGAAGCCCGACTTCCCCCCCACCCCTTTTTTTTTTTGCATTGCCTTGCATTGCAAATGCCCAGCCTGGTGCTGCTTGCCTGCCCACCTGCCAAAGAGCTGCCTCCCCTGGTGTATGCTCAAGCCCGCAGAAGCCATTAACCTTGTCCTAGACTGCCTGCTAATGCAGCAATCCTCTGATTGAGCCCGTGGAAGCCATTAGTTGCCACATTAGCAAGCAGTCTAGGGCATGGTTAATCATGTCTGTGGGTTTGATCAAGCTCATGGAAGCCATTAACTGTATCCTAGACTGCTTAATAATAATGTGGCAATTAATGACTTCCTGGGGCTTGAACAGGGGATTGCCATGTTAGTAAGAAGTCTAGGGTGTGGTTAGTAGCTTCTATGGCCTTGATGAAGCCCGTGGACACCATTAACCACGTCCTAGACTGCTTAATACTGTGGCAATTAATGGCTTCCGCAGGCTTAATCCCCTGATCAAGCCCAGGGAAGCCATTAATTATGGTGTTAACAAACCTGTTTGGGGCCATCTGTCAACCTCTGGGGAGGGGTGGGACTTCCAGGGCCCCTTGGCCAATCAGAAACATGGGAGGGCCCACACCATGCTCCACCATGAAAATTACATATACCCTGATACCACACTGGAACTGTGAAATTGGAGGACAGCTGCCCCAAATTCAGTTCACATTACTTATGTGCCTTTGGTCACAAAAACTGGCATGTCTAAACCCTTCTAGCCCAATGGGCCACCTAAACAATCAGACCTATAAAATTTTGGGGTTGGTGAGGGAAGAGGGCTTGATAACTGACCTGCCTAAAGCCCTCTTCCCTAGCCCAGCTTACCTTGCCATTATACCACACACTTTCATTTCCCTCTGGATCAACATTATCCGTTTTCAAGGTGAGATACACCAGTCGCCGTTTAAGCCCTTTTTCTTTAATCTGCTTCACTGCTTGCTTTCCTATGAAGTCTGCTTGCTGAAAAAGTAGAGGATAATGATGATAAATGATTATTCAGGATCCGTGACAAGGTTATAGATGCAAGCATTTAAATGCATCTTCACTTGTTTTCCCATCAGTTAAATATTTTATATAAATAGAGATTAAATCAAACTTTGGGGCAAATATAAATCTTGTCCACAAAAATGACATGTTCATCTATTTTTCCTATGCTTGTTTGTCTAGTTCTCTGTCCTCTAAGACCCACAAGTTCAATAATGATAGAATTAGATGTGTCATAAGATATGGCATACCATAATAGTGGGTGATTGAACTGGCTCCTTTAGAATTCTGAGCCAGAATGTCAGTACTCCTCTTACAATGGAACTGTCACACCACAGCATAGATACTTGTGCCCCTGTTCTCTTACTGTGGCCCCATGTCCTGTTTGGATCTAAAAGCCACGTGTAAGGACAAAAGCAGCTCAGCACCATTCTCCTTTGGTCCTTCTGTCCAGGAACTGGAAATGGAAGTTTCCTCCCTACTCTCAAAGGAAATTTTCCGTACTGACTCGTTACTTCATGGGATAGTGTGACACCCCGGCTGTCACATCCTATTCATATACCAGAATAGCAGCATCAGCTGAAGCTCTCTGTATTCAATAATGTTCCCCAAAGCAGAGTGGCAATTCCTTGAATTCTCACACGTAAGTCAGGGGCAGAAGCTTAAAAAAGCAACAGGCAACCAGGGCAGAGGGAGGCATAGGGCTAGCTGCAACTTTCAGCTCTCACTGTGACACTGGTGCAATCACGTGACTGCAGTGGCAGCTGCTATTTTTCTACCTCTCCCCAAGTCAGCACCCAAACTGTACATAATTATGATCTCAAGACCAGGGTAATTCTACCACTAAAGGTGTGTAAAGAAGTTGCTTTTTTCACCATTTAAAGTGCTTTATCACTGTGACTTAGCAGAAGTACACGACTTCATAAAACTTTAAAAATGGGTACAGCACTTTAAATTTACCCTTGTTAAATGAGGTAATGAATTTGAAGCACTGTATTTTACAGCCTACAAATCCAATATGTGAAAATTCACTTTAAGGATATGGCTCACATGAAGTAAAATACTTATAGGCAATTGGTTTGCATCCCATAAGTTGTCTTGCCTTCAGGTTCAGACCCATAATAGCCACTATATGCTGTGGTAGCTCTCCAGCAAAGAAAAGGGACAACTTGAAATTTACTGTGAGAATCATAGGCCTTGAGGTACCTTTAACTGATGAAGCTGTTGCAGATCTAAAGCACAAGTGGATTCCTACCTAGTTACTGAATACTTCTGACAAGAGTCAAATAGTGAAAAGAGGAACCAAAACTGCAGGATGTGAACTGGTGGATCTAATGAATGGTGGCATAGAAAAGAAATACAAAAAAGGGAAAGGGGCTCTCAGACTTTCTATTGGATTTGCTCCTATGATGTATACTTAAATAAGGAACAGCAGAGTGGTGTAAGGACTTGTTTACATAGGGGCAGATGAGAAAAATAATCAGTGTTACCATTCAAAGTTGGTTAGTTAAAATGTATGAAACCCATGTGAACACACACGTTCAGAATAAGTGACCTAGACTGAATTTATCTTAATTCATTTCCATTCTCCTTCCATTCTTATATGTTTGCAATGTCATTTTGTCAGGAAAGCAGTATCCTTGACTCAGAATATGACAGATAAGCAAACAGCTTGTTCTTAATATTTAGTTTTTAATTTGAAACTAGTTAGTCTCTGTATTTCACTTTCCATCTGAGGATCTCAAAGTGCTTTACAAATAATTAAGCCTCAGGGCTCATTTAGTCTGAAGAAGAGAAGACTGAGGCAGGATTTAATAGCATCCTTCAACTACATAATACCTGGTTCCAGAGAGGATGGAGCTAGACTGTTCTTAGTGGTGGCAGATGACAGAACAAGGAGCAGTGGTCTCAAGTTGAGGCAAGGGATGTTTAGGTTAGATATTAGGAAGAATTTTCTCACTAGAAGGGTAGTAGAACACTGGAACAGGCTACCCAGAGAGGTGGCAGAAGCTCCGTCCTTGGAGACTTTCAAAACCTGCCTAGAAAAAGCTTTAGCTGGGATGATCTAGTTGGGGATGGTCCTGCTTTGAGCAGGAGGTTGGACTAGATTACCTCCTGACGTCTCTTCCAATCCTAATTTTCTATGATTCTATGATTTTCTACGCTTCATGAAGTGCAGTGGTAGCAGCAGAAGCCCAAGTGATGGCACTGCGTCCAGATCCAGGGCTGGTCTCCATGGACACTGCATGTAGCCGGGTGTGGAGCTGTGTCTGGAGCTAGGCTCCATGGAGAAAGGCCCTTAGCCCCAGTCCTGGATGCAGCACCCTCACTGGGGCTTGTATCACTGCCACTGCCCCCATGCCTCTCCGCCCTTCACCGGGCTCGCGGGGCTGGGAGCTGCCACGGCCACGTGGGCATCCCAGGGCAAGCTGCGGGCTGGCATGAGAGAGGGGTGCTCCAGCGCCACCTGCCTCCCCCAGCCCCAGCTTCAGCCCTGGCTCCACCCCCAGCCCTAGCCTCAGCCCAGTGCTGGCTGCTGCAAGTGGTGGGGCATGAAGTCTCCAAGAGCTTTACAAATGATTAAGCCTCAGGGCTCATTTAGTCTAAAGAAGAGAAGACTGAGCGGGGATTTAACAGCCTTCAGCTACCTGAAGGGGGTTCCAAAGAGGAAGGAGCTAGACTGTTCTCAGTGGTAGCAGATGGCAGAACAAGGAGCAACAGTCTTCAAGTTACAGCAAGAGAAGTTTAAGTTAGATATTAGGAAACACTTTCTCACTAGGACGGTAGTAAAGCCCTGGGTAACCTGTTCCAGTGAGACTGTGAAATCTCCATGCTTGGAAGTTTTTAAGACCCAGCTAGACAAAGCCTTGGCTGGGATGATCTAGTTGGGGATGGTCCTGCTTTGAGCAGGGGGCTGGACTAAATGGCCTCCTGAGATTCCTTTCAACCCTAATTGCCTATGATTCTATGAAAACCTCTATGAGTGAGGGATGTGAAATATTCCACTGATTTTAATATTTACCTTATTTTGCTGATGGAAAAATTGAAGCAAGGATGTGCCAAAGGTCACATAAAGAATCAGTGTTAGACCCAAAATTATAATACAGATCTATTGACCCAGTCCAGTGTTTTAATCAATAGAGTAGCCTGCCTCTTCAAATACATAATTTTAGACTTCATATACAGCATTTTATATGTACCACATTACTACAAATGATAAAAGCTTTTAAGAGTTTAATTATTTTTATTGTTAAAAGTTTTAAATGTTGTCTTTTAAAAGTAATATGCTGACTGATACTTAAATTTACAAAAATAAAAATAAAAATTGGTGTTTTATTTGTAAGCATCTAATACTACAGCAAATTCTCTGAAGTCCTCAACATTAATCTTTGCCACATCCCTTTGTGGGGGATATTCTCATTCATAAGAACTTCATATTAAACAGTAAAGCCCACAATCAGTAAATAATAATGCTTGTATTTGAAGAGTTACTGAAGAATGGGACCATATTTCTGGTAAGGGCCTTCATTTCCACAGAGTATAATGATATTTGTTAACTAGGAGTCTATTTAAAATGAGCTCAAATTGAATGGTTTGTTTAAAAAGTTCCCAAGACAGTTTCCAGTTCCATTATAGGAGCTGTTTATTATCACTGCTATGCCACAGACTGGCAGCACTACTTGATATGCATGTGAATAAGTACAGGTAGAGAATGGAAGGGTCAGCATGATGTAAAAAAGGGTATGGACAAGTATAACAATTAGACCCATTTAAATACAGTTTAAACCTCAAGCAGACAGATATACAAACCTGTTAAACCAGTTTAAAGCTGTCTGGAATGGTTCAAAAGTACACCTAGAAAATCAAGTACTCTTTTGAACTGGTTTAGTGTGTACCAGCTAAATATTATTACCTGTGGACACATATTCCATGACACAAGTCTGGTCTATCCTCCAGGCATCCCACACTGCATTGTTTCTCTCTTTCTCCATCTTCCCACCACCCCAATTGCTACAACTGGCCACTCTGGTACACAGCCACAACTCTACTGCTCCTTTTTCCTTTTGGTTGGCACTTTTTGAATCAATGAGCTCCCTGGCACTTCTTGTTCAATAAAAGCTCTAACAACAAGCTTTGTCCTTGTTCCCTATTCACAAGGGGGGGGCCTCATTAACCTCACCCAATTCTGGGTCCGAGCACTCCCCCCACTTTTAGGCACCCCAACTCAGGCAAGCATTCTGTAGAGTTCAGTTAAGTGTAGGCTACAAAACTATTGAAATCATGTTTGGGAAGAATGGAAAGCACAGAAGTGAAAATGCTGCCAGTCACAGATCACCCACACCCCAAGACCCTCAAAGTGTGGGTGCAACCCCTTTCTACCAACTGGCCTACTGTGAGGCATGCTGGGCTGGATGCTCACTTTCATCCCCTGGTGTTGGAACCACAGTGTAACAGGTGACCATTCTACCTATAACTTTATGTTTGGACACCTCTGTCTCTCAACAACTGTGAACTGGTTCCCAATTAGTGACATTGTTATATGCATCCATACCCTTGAATATGATTCTGGAGACTTTTTTACTTCACTGGATAAACTGAAGCACTCAGAGATGCCTCAATTACTGAAATGTGATGTGAATCAGTTTGGAAGAACTCTATGGTGTGTCCTGCCAAGGGAAATAAAGGAGCTATATGCCAGGATGCAGTAAATGACCATTTCTCTCTTTCCCACCTCTCAGTAAACAACTGTTTCACTGGTATTGCACTAATTTCTACTCTGGTTAAAAAAAATTAGTCCCTGGATATATTTCTCCCCTTTCCTTCTGATTCAGAGTGTAACATACTTAATTTAAAAGTTTACAGTGTTTTTATTATGAAAAGAAGAGGACTGTGATTGAGCCTGTGTTTACATAAATTAATAGTAAAATTTTAGTTATTCATGCTATATGGAATCACAACCCTATTTAAGAAACAGC